CCATTGAGCGTTACGTATGAGCAGGAAATTCTTAACATTTCATTTCAAACTCTCCTAGTCTCAGTGCATGTTCTACTCTAGGCCAATGTGTGTGTGTGTGCTTACGTGTGTGTGTGACTTTTATAGTCTATTAATTTTATTAGTGTCATTGCAGTCAGGCGTATTCGAGCTATCCATGTGTGTGCGTATGTACATATGTGTGTGTGTGTATCTGTGTCTCAGACTGCCGCATTAGCCTGATAAATAGTTTGTTTTTTTTTTTGTTTTTTTAGTGCAGCTTTTTGCTTAGAGCATCCCCAGCTGCTTGTATCTCGTCTCGTAATATGCTCAGCAGGCTGTTAAGCTAATTATCCTGGCACATATCAGGTGTTGAAGCAAAATTTAATTAACCAAGCTGCAGATACTCTGCTGCCGCGACTGCCCTAATTAACTGATATGAAAAGCAGTTTGAAGAAGCTCTGACGTGCCAAAGGAGCTTTGAGGAGGTTTCTCATAAAGCAGCCAACAGCTGCTAATGAAATGTTTAGTTCTAGTTTATGCATAACTATAACTAATTTTATGGATTCTAGATTGCTTGGGTTAAATTCATGGAGTAGTAGGCTTATAGAGTTAAATCTTGTAAGCCCAAGTCATATAGCATTTGTTACTTTTTATCAATTAAATATAGTTAGTATACGACTTAGTATACTTCTTCAACTCTCTAACCAGACAACAACAACTTTTCCCTTCTGTTAAACGCAGTGTAAGCTTCATCTTTTATCCATTTCCACCTGTGTTTGGCTAATAGCTGTAAAAAAAACAAACTAAAAAAGTTAAGAAAAACCCTCGACTCGTTCTGGTTTTTTTTTTAGCTTTAGCCCAGTTGAGAGACATTTTTCATGATTTATTTGTTGCATTAGTGGACGCTAGTGGACCTACTTGGCACTAGCCGCACTTCGGGTGACTTCAGGTGAGCCCAAAGGTATGCAGCGCTCTGCAGCTGCTGCTGCCACGGCCAGACGGCATTATAAATGGCCGACTGGGTGCTCAAGCTCAAGCAAAACATTAACTATTTTAAATGCCATAAAAATGCAGAGTAGAGCAGAGCAGAGGAACGGAGCAGAGCAGAGGAGCGGAGCCGAGGAGAGCAGAGCAAAGGGCAGAGGCAATCCTCTGTACAGTAAATACTGCACATGGCGACTGCAGTCGAGCGTGTAAATTGTGTCATTCCACTGCAACATGAACAAACATGAATCGGAACAAGAGCAAGCCTCAAAAGCCAATGAGACCCCATGCGAATGTATTTACACACGGCAAATTAATGGTAGCTGGTTAAGTGAGAGGGAGAGAGAGGGAGAGATAGAGAGAGAGAGAGAGGGAGAGATAGAGAGAGAGAGAGAGGGAGAGACAGACTAAACAGAATCTTAAATCATTGCATTGAAATGGTATAATGAATTATAGACTGGAAAAGTG